GCTCTTTATTGGTGCGTCATGCTGAAGAGACACATAAGTTAATCTGAGTTAATGCTAAGAAATGTAACTAGATTTAAGAGTGTGAGCCACAATCAAGTGTCGTCGCCGAAACCTGCTCCTTGATAGAGTCGCAGATTTGATTCACATCACAGAGAGATTAGCATGGTACTTGATAGAGGCCAGTCACGGCAGGGGTAATCACCTGACCGTCGTCGCGGATACCATTTCGGTGCACATAGTTGCATGTTTGACTTTATTCACAAAGAAGGGCAGCTTGTTAACCAAGTGGTGCTCGCATGCACTGCAATGACAACCTCTTTTAACTTTATTAAAACAATGTTGAAATGTAGAGACAGGTTAATAGAATGCAAATGTTGAATGCTTGAATTATGAGGTAGCGAGTGCATGGGATAACTTGAAGACGGGTTCAGGTCCTTGCTGAATGAGGAATGACTATGTTAAGGCGAAGCATGATACAGGAAAGCTTGGCGATTGCATGGCAAGTAGGATTAAGTAAATGACCGTCACGAGAGTACAAGCTTAGAATATGCATGTGAATGGAAGGTCACATGTGTATGAATGTCACATGCAAGTTATGTAAAGGAGTCTAAAAACTAACTCTGCAACACGATTGTGCAACTCGCAGAATGTCGATTATTCCACTCTGCAAATGGGTCGCAGTGGCACTCTGCGAAGAGCACGATTCCCATTGGTTGGTTGGTCGAAAAGCGTGAATCCCAATGGTTGATTGATGTCCATATTACTTCTTTATTTACAGTGTAAGGGTTTATCGCATGCCTTATAGAAATGTTAAGTTTTAAATGGTTATTTAGCCAACTGCTCAAGAACTACGGTAAACAAGTGTGTAAACACTATGTACCGGTGACATGCCGTACTGTTCAGTGATCGGCCAGCATTCCTGTGTTTGACTAGACTGGCACAGTTGGGACTGCCTTGGTTTTGTCATTGAAAACCAAGAGTTCATCAAAGCAGTTTCACACTTCTCATTTTCTCTGCTCCTGTGAATAACCCCTATGTTCAAAGTTGCATGGGAACGCGAGCACGATGTCACATTGACAAATTTTAACAATCTCGCAGTGATTTTATAATTAATAAAATAATAAAAAACAAGCTATGCATGACACAGTCCCTGTTAGTTATCAAATTTAAGATATATGTTTTTTTTTATAGAAATATAGCTGCAATATAAACATGTCAGGAATATGATTATGATGATTGTTCAACATTAAAATGATTGACATTTGTAACTGATCATCAAACGAGTATTTGTCCATATTGAGAGATATTGCTCTGGAACAGCATTAATTAAAACAAAATTTATAACATGATGTATAATGAGTATATAAAATTTGAACATAATCAGTCAAAGCAGGTCAGAGATATGGGTCTGGAAACCCATTCATTAAAACAAAATGGCCACCAGTCAGCCATTTTGAATCTGATATGAAAAATAAAACGGCGTGCATTAAGAACCTGTAATGTCTAATGTATGAAAAACAAAATGATATGCATCATTGATAATGCCTTATGTATTTAACAAGTTTGAACAGAATCCACCTGTAAACAGCCGTGAAATTAACCAGCCCAGCATTAACACAGACTACACTGACACATAATCATGCTATTCCGATTACCTTGTAAAACTTCACATTTTCAGAACTCCAGACTGAAGCAGCAAGTTTAAGGTTTGTCATTTTCAATTTGTTTGACTGACACCATGCTTACCTGGGCTATCTGTATGGCTTGGTTTGAATTCAAATCCCACATTTTAGCAGTTTTGTCTGTAGAAGCTGTGAACACCTTTGTACCATCCTGGCAAACAATAACAACAGAAATTAGATGTATTAAATGACTCTTCCAAAAATCAAACAAGCCATGCATGGCACAGTCCCTGTTAGTTATCAAATTTAAAATATATAATTTTGTTTATAGTAATATAGTTGGAATACAAACATGTCAGGATTATGATTATGAATTTTTAACATTAATATGATTGTCATCTTCTATCTGATCCTCAAACGAGTCCTTATTGAGAGATAAATGCTATGGAACAGCATTAATTAAAACAAAATCGGCCATTTTGAATACATGTATATACAACATAATGTACAATAAATATATAAAATTTGAACATAATCAGTCAAAGCATAGCATAGGTATGGCACTAGAACTGCATTTATTACAACAAAATGGCCACCAGTCGGCCATTTTGAATCTGATCTGAAAAATAAAATGACGTGCATCAGGAACCCATAATGTCTAATGTATATATCAATTTTGAACAAAATCAATCCATAATGCCAGAGATATTTGATGATTTTTTTAGCACAAAAATGGTCGCCATTTGGCAATTTTGAGTCAGAACATGAAACAAATTCATGTGCATATGTAGAATATTATGTATAATGTATGTGTAAAGTTTGAATGTAATTGGTCTCGGCATTATTATGCGGTATTCTGATTGCTTAATGGGATTCTTGACCTATCGGGTCAAAGGACACACGCCGGTCAACTAATGCGTCACAAACATCATGGCGGGTCTGCCAGTTGGTCATCAAGGACAAGTATCTCAACATGTGTAATGTTTGTATCAAATATGAAAGAAAACCAACAAATCGTGTCCAAGATGCCTCAACCCGGTATGCCAAATACAATTATTTTTTAAAAATGTTATTGATAACGAAACTATATTCTAAAAGAAGTTTCAATTAAAAACGAACACAACTGAATTGCTTAATAGCAAATGATCTTGGTAGCACAAAACCTGTCATGCTGTGTTTTACAGTTGTTATTACTCAGTAGTGATTATATACCGAACTCTGCCATAAATTCGCCCATCTGAAAAATTGCCCTGGGTGATTTAACTGCTGATGGGCTTTTATTTGGGTTTCAAAAAATGATTATCAAATATTTTTTGTGGACTTATATTTTCATTGAAAAATCCACCTACGTCGATTTTCAATGCCGGCAGTTGGACCACCCTGAACGAAAAAAAAACTATTGCGGAAGCTAATCTAAAATTGTATACATTTTTTTCTTGCTGGATTAAAAAGTAGACCTCCTAAGATTTCATTACAATGTCACCCAGCGCATCTTTCTCCAAAAAAAATCAAAGAAAGCTTAGAAAGAACTCCCATGTGCTGAGAGTATTGGAGACACATTAAATATAATT